AATATTAGTTTTTCTGAAGTAAGGTTGACTAGGTCCGACATCTCATCACTAATTTCAAGGCGTGGGTAGACCGTGAACTTGGCGGGGTAAACTGTCATCTGATTCAGGTATTACCGAGACATGTTTGTTTCGTTACCTAATTGAAATGAACTTGAAAAGAGGATACTGACTTGCACAATGCAAGGAGAGTATGAAGATATTGTGGAGTACACTGCTTGTATATATAAAGGCTGGATGAGCGCGCGAGTGTTAGAGGGGCTAAGGTAAACGGATCACAGTGGACGTGCTGATTTAACTGATATTTCGTAGCGAGAAAGATTACAATCGTGTGAATGATATAGTGAAGTCCTATCACATATATTTTTACCAAACCAATAGGTTATTAAGTTAAGGAGGGCCATAAACTATACGTTATCTTCTTTAAGTTGGAGGTTTTTGGTATCAATTTATCAATGCTTGAGCCATTTTTAAATGAATCCAACCAGATCAATTTGTTACGATATGTATGAAACAGAATTCGTAACACTCTCTAGTATCAAAAACTAAGAATACGTAGCTTCTACTCACCAGGTTAATGATAATTAGGTAAAAAAGTTTCCAAAGAAACGAAGATCTCACCAGTATAAAATATCAGTATATAAAGACGTTTTATTAATGAGACAATTGATAATATAAGACATTATTTATTGGCATATCCTCCCTAGTCGCTAGATTTGGTAACTACTAACTTTTATCTGTTGTTTTGTTAATTTCCTTAACAAAAGAACAACAATAGAAGCGTTAAAAGTATATTTTGGTGAAAGTATAATTTTTCAATGGTGCTTCAGAGATGGGAAAAATTTTAGACAGATCGTACTCAACTACAAGTAGACTGCATTAAGAATGTAGTTTACTGTTTTTTGCGTTATTTTATTAGATATTTAGTAATAATAAGACAAAGATATCTATTGACTTATTTCGAAGGAGCTAATTGATAAAAGATTTTGATGAGTTTTTAGTAACGTACCTCTTACAAAAAATAATTTTACTAGTCAAAAAGACCAGACTTACTTATTTACTAATCAAAAATTAATGTTGCTGCCTCTTTTTTATTCAGTACTATTTTTAATAATTTCTTACATACTAAATATACAAAAATTGTAGGACTAGACATACACTTGTTATTTACACATATTATAAACAATTGATGATATCAAAAATATACTTCGCAGTATTTTTACTAAACTAAATAGTATTGCATAATAACTTACTACTATAATCAATTAATTACAACAAACGTCAATTCACTTAAGGTATACTACATGACGAATTTTCATCTCGAATTACCTGACCTCTCTAACCAGGAACTGATCAGAAGGTTGGCGTTCAGATCTGCATCGACAGTGGCATATTTGCAAACTATAAGTTAATTAATGTTAGATGTTATTCTGGCAAAAATGTGCCCAGTGCCCAGCCTTATCCAGCGTTTCTCAACTTTTCAGTATTGGTATATCAATACTCAATTTTCATTCATAATTTCCATCGCACCCCAGCTTACAATAAAATGTATACGATTGTTCAATTTTTTACTTGCGAAAAACGATATTATATTTTTCACTATATCGATCCTATAATTACCGATCTCAATTTTAAATTATTACTACCTAAGCCAACCGTTAGTAATAACTCCTACCCTACTCCTACCTTCGAGAAACACAAATATTTTTTAGACAATGCAAAAGAAAGTTGGTTGCTGTAGACAACATACATATTTTTCGTCTTTCTTACCTATTGGTATTTCTCTACCTATTGGTTCTCGTAAACAAGAGACGCAAAACACATCTTAGAATTTCCCTTTTAATTTGGTTGCTGTAAAAGCTCTTTCCGCCTCTCTTAGTGAAGTACTAGTCACAAAGAAATATTACTGTGTATACAGTGAAAAAATACGGCAAATACGTTATAGACAAATAGCGCTAACTATTGGTACACGATGTTCTTTTACTTTTTATAAACTTGATTTAGCTATAACTTCCGATACCCAGTTGCCACTCCTCTCGATTCATCCATAAGTATTTTTCCATGTCTCTATCTTTCATTTCTCTATTGATGCCTCCTCGATCGAGGAAGGCGCGATCTTCCTCTTTTTTTACCGCGAGGAGTCTACATTAAGACTTATTGAGAGATGTTCTTCATGACATTCTCTGTACATGACCCTACCATCTGAGTTGTTGGGTACCAATATCGTCTACTATTTTATGTTTTATTTTCATAATTTCTCTTATTCTGTTATTCGTTAATCTTTCTAGTCTAGATTTTTTAGCTGAACGTCTCCAGAACTCCATTTACGTTGCCTCAAGTTTTCTCTTGTATGTTTTCTTTATTTGCCATACTTGACTACTATAGGTAATTATACTTTTAATGATTGTATTATATATCTTGTGGTTGTTATTATTAGAGATTGATTGATCCCAAAGGATACTATTGAGAAGGGAAATTGCTTTTCTTGTTTGGTTGTTTTTCTGCTCAATTGTGTCGTCTACGTTGCATTATTTTGTGATGATCATACCTAAATATTTATGTGTGGCAATGTTTGATAACTTCTCCATCTTCCAATATGAGGTCCTGTTGTTTACCGCCGATACATATATACTCGGTTTTTTTGGATATTTATTTCAAGTCCCCATTTTTTATACTCCACGATCAATTTTCGAGTCATATACTCAATATCTTTATAATCTTGTACTATCACTAGTTGATTATCTGCAAATGACAAAGTGTATATGTTATTGTTGTTAATCGGCATATTTCTACATTTGCACTTCCACAGTTTTAGAGCCTGTTGTAGGTAAATTTTAAATATGTAACTTCGGGGAGAGACAACAGCAATGCTTAAGGGCTTTATTCATTTGAAATCCACTTGACAGATTATTTCCAACCTTTACCTTTGAGTTAGCAGTAGCATATAGTTCCTTCGTCGCATTTATTAAATTCATGCTTATGTTTGGTTTCTCAAAGCTTTCCATAATTTATAATGTGGTACGCTATCATAAGCCTTTCGTAGGTGCCTGTTCCTCAACTTCTAAGTCTTTATATTCGCTTTTATATTCGCATAACATTTGATTACGTCTCCTAATTATTTTGGACCATCCCTATTGATACAGTCTCAAAACTGAAATTATTTTAATAATTTCTCATATGTACATGTCTTAATCGTACAACGATAATAATGTATTTGAGTTTTTCGGCTCTAAACCTACTGAAAGGACTTACTTAAACCTACTTAAACGTTACAAGTTACCAACAATACGGAAATTTATTGATATTTGGCAAGATCGATCCTCAATATTTGCAAAACAAGATCTGCTTCTTTTTAATTACTTTTATGTGTACTTTTGTATCGGATATTTTCCCGGTTCCCGGAGAAGTTTCGATTTTTCTCGAATATTCTGTAAAGTCGAACATGCGCAGATGTGAAGAAATGTTTTCTTATAGGGAGAAGGAGAATGTTCGATAAAGCTGGTTTCAATTCCAGCTAGTCTCATTTGAGTCGATCCTTCTATCACTATCGAATCTATTGTGAATGTCTACGTTATATATGTTTTACTTGTCAATTTTAGTTCATTATATTAAATATTCCATATTAGAGGTGTTTGAAATGGACAAATGCTGTTTGTTAGTTATTGGGAACTATTAAAATACGAAAAAATTCATACTTACGGCATGTTTTTAAAGGAGACCGGTACAGAATCCTTCAGCTTATTATACAAAAACATTTCGATTGCGACTGGACAGGAATATGCAGGGTTAAATAACCATTTCAATTTGCAGAAGACCGTCAAAAACTCGCCAATGTAATTGGCAACGTTAGGGGGACCTAATATGGTATCGAAAGAAGGAGGAGTGTTTAAGCTGTAATAAGCTAGTATTGGACGATAGGCAAGCATCAACAAGTTCACGAACGATCGTGGTTCCAAAAATAAATATTAAGAAAACATTCTCAAGAATGCTTAAATTTTGGATGTACCTAAACTGAAGTAAATAAAGAAGAAAGACACTTCTGTGTATCGTTTGCTTAAAAATGTTGGCGTAGAAGCATGACTACTTAGTTACTGGAAATGTACTTTCCACATTCTATGCTGGTTAAGAACTACTTTTCTTAAAATGTAGAGTAACGAGACTTTGATTTTGTCGAACAAATATTCTACTAGTCTGTATGACAAATTCAGACAGACTCTCTTGACATGAAAAATGTAAAATAACGAGACTAATTTTCGAACATTTACTTTACAACTCTGCTTGACAAGATTAAAAAATAGACTATTATGCAGTGAAAATCGGTTGCTAATTACAATTGCCCATGGCAACGCAGATAAGGGTTTATGACGCAAAATACTGACGTTATTTTACATTAAAATCATAAAAATAATAAATGAAATTAAATTTGTACAGAGAGTATGTCAGCAAACCAAGAGAATTCTCCGAATTAAAATTATAATTACATGAAAAGCAAAAAATCATTAAAAAACTCATTTAGTAAGTCAATGTATAAATATTATGTCGAAATGTATTTTATTCTGTATGTGATTGTGTGTGTGTGTGTGTGTGTGTGTGTGTGTGTGTGTGTGTGCGTGTGTGTGTGTGTGTGTGTGTGTGTTCCATTCAGTCAGTTAATCAATTGTTTAAATTTTTTTCCTGGGTATGTTAGGGCCCTGTTTAGTATGCTGTCGTCCCCCTTGGTCGCGCCTTTGGTTGACAGTCGTAGACTTAATCAATGGCGCAAAAAATGGTGTTTTAAAATTCGCGCCACGCATACCCTAATTGACATTTGCTGGATTAAAAAAGAAATTTTTGTTCCTAATAGTATCGCCATAATCATACAAAAATCAATAACAAAACAATGAACAGTTTTTAAATAATTTCACCACAGTTGCTTGACACTTAAACCATATAAAACATTCTATATCACACTACAATTTTCGAACCCCCTACCATGTTATCAGCATATCACAATTAATAGTTTCCTAAGTCACACTGCAATTTTGGTTTATATTTACATTTCTTTTAACGTTGTATATAACATCTATGCTGCGTTTTCTTCTCTTAGTCGTTGGATTTAGCCAGTAATATTTGATCAGGTCTGCTCCTTTTTCTCCTATCATAATAACAGGTGCATTAATATTTCCATTTGTTATAAACGGCATTATAGAAGCATCTATCACTCGTAATCCAGAGACACCGTATACCTAAAACCAAAATTGAGTTATACTGTTTGGAAAAGTATTAAGAGCTTACTGTAATATTTTATTATGACCTTGTTTAGTTATATATTTTTATTAGGTACATTTCATTGTTTATTTTTATTATCTACCTTAAAATTTCCTCGTCAAAATTGGCATACTCATATGTTTGTCAAATCCGAGAACTACTTATCTAAATCAACACAAAATTTCTAGTTACAATTAATTATAACCCCGAACACTTAAAATAAAAGCTATTAAAATATACATTTCCTGAGGAAATACATATATACGCAACTTTGTACGAATTAGTTGAGATCACAGCTTTAATTTAATATGGTCCTATGTCAGAAGATTTAGTCCCTATGAAGACCTTGCCCACGATGAGTTTCGACGTTGATTTCATCTTTCTATAAACTATATTACTACTAGAAGGGTAAGTGCGTTTTTCTGTTGATTTGATAATGATTTATGAGTTCTCCAATCTATTTTTTATTATTTACAATCATATATTTCATTTCATTGTTTACTACTTGAATTAATTAACCAGTTTTTCCTGATATTTCCTACATAAACATATAGTAATAAAGAGTAAAAGATAATATGTAAAGGTAAAATATTCGTAGTGCTGTAAATGAAATTGAAGAAACATTTGAAAATTAACGGAAAATTATTAGCTTGATGAAAAGCGTTTTTTTTTTCTTCTGTAGGTACCGTCTCCTCTAAGGAGTTTGGTAATCATCACAGCTATTTTCACTTTTGAGATTGCAGCTCTGCAATCGATGGAACTGCAATTATACCACTTTCTCAGATTGTTGAGCCAGGAGATCCGTCTTCTTCCAATACTTCGTTTTCCCTGTATTTTTCCCTGCATTATGGTTTGTAGTCTGCGTTTTACTTCCGTCTAAAGACAAATTTGGGACAGCAAGATAATACTTACTGAGGCTGCAAACCAATGGCATAAGTTTGATGTGTCATGAAGGGACACCTGTTAAAATTTGGAGATGCAGCCAGCATTATTCGACATACTATAATTGAAATATGTAGAAAAACCAAAACGTGTTGTGTAACAAAGATTTATCGATCGGAGGTTAAGAGTTATGTTACATGTTCTCTTTGCTACCATAAGGTGTGGAAGCATGGACGCTAAAGAGACATAGTGAAAATCGATTGGAGGTTTTCGAAATGTGGGCTTACAGAAGAATGCTTAGAATAAGCTAAAAGGTGGTCAGAGTTACAAACGACATTGTTTTGAAAAAAATGAGAAATCTAAAAGTCCTAAACACTATCAATATTAGAAAGTTGCAATACTTGGGCCGTATTATGAGACGTAACCATGAAACAGAAAAAAAGAATAGATGCCTTTGAAACGTATATATACAGACAGATGCTGAGAATTCAATGGGTACAAAAAGTTAGCAATGGTGAGGTAGTTCGGCGCATGAGTAAACAAAAAGAATTACTCAGTATAATCAAAGAGAGAAAAATACAATACTTAGGTGTTTTGAGTGTTGAGAGGTGAAAGATATCAATTACTCCAAAGCCTATGATAGGTTTCTGTGATGGGCACTCAATAAGAAAAGATAACATGATTATGGCAAGTGTAAAAAATATTGATATGTGAAAGTAATATTGCATGAAGGCTCAGTGCTTAATCCTTACTTAAGTCATTAGTACTGGATCTGATAAAAGGGAGTGTAATCAGATAAATGCGCTTCTGGAAGAAAATCGTTGACTTATTGACAAAAACAACTTTATATTTTATACCCGTACAGAAGAGAAGTGAAATGTTTATATTCATATAATTCTGATAAAATCACAAATAGAGCCTAATTTAAGGAATCTATATTAAAATGGTAAGAAGTTTTTGTACATACATCTTTCTTTATTTTTCTGCTTTTAATTATATTATGTTTTTCCTAATTTCCATTTTTTAACTATTTGCTTTCTAAAATATAATTAACTTTTTTTTTTTCAGAATCTCATAGACTTCCCTGCTTTATTTTCATATTGGATTGTTAAGTTCCCCTTCCATTCCTCTTCTTTTTGTGCGAATTTTCCCAATTCTACTGGAGTTATCTCCATCTGTTGTACCATTTTTTTGTCCAAAAATACCACTCTTACAGTTTGAGAACTGATTCTCCTATACTGCATTATAATAACCTTTCACACTTTTTGTGTGCCCATCTGACTTCTTATTTAACGCCAAAATCTCTCGGAGTGTTCTATCATATGCTTTTTCGAGATATTGAATGTCATATAAACTTATTTGTTTTTGTTTTTCTATTTTTCTGTTCTTAATGTAAATGTAAATTTATTACTCAACAACCATATGCTTACCTTCAACTCTGGATCTACTACTGCATACGGATCTGATGGAGGTCCCATTTTCGCCGTACAAGAATAATGATAAATCGACAGAGTATACTGCCGTATATAGCAATCCCAGTACTCGTCAGTATAAGGGGGCAAGTGCTTGCATTTCGGTACTAGTACGTTATGGTACCGCGCTCCAAATCGTTTCATAGCTTCCGTTTGTCCAAAAGCTACGGCTGCTTTTGTTCCTTCCCTTAGAACGTTTACGTCGTGGGGATGTGTAAGGTAGTTGTGGTAGAAGAGCGGATAATCGAGGGGATCTTTTGACCTAAAACAAAAAAGCGGATAAATAATAATTATAAGAATTGTTTAAAATATAAATTGATTATTTTATGTATAAATAAATCAAAAAGATCTTCGATTATTATGGGAATTATAATACAAGTACTTCCTAAATTTGAGTATTTTGGAAAATGAATTTTTATTCCATTTGTTTTTTCAAGTTTCCTATATTGGTCAAACCTAAAGCTTATATTTGTCCTAACTATTTTTATTAAAAATCTGGTAATTTTGTTTTTTTGGCATCGTGTGCTCTAGTTTTCGTACAACAACTTCTTTCCGCTCCTTCTGTTACTTCCTTAGTTCCGGACAACTTACACAGTTATAAATTGTACTTATCATATTTATAGTTTGTCACTCTCTTCTTTTAGGTACCGTTTGCATTTTTATTATAATTCTTAAGAGATTAATTTAATTGATATCCTATCAAGGACAATATGGGAAGTTTACAATACCGAAAAATACAAAGGCATTTTAAAAATACAAAAAAGTTACGCGTACTATTTTGCAATAATATAATACACAAATATCACCATACATATCATGTAATATATATGGTAATGTATATTACCACAAATACATGGTATGGTAATAGAAATCACCATACACATAATATATATATGTGGCCACAAAAATATCACCATAATCATCATTCTGGCTACAACCATATGCAGATCCTAGCCTCCTCAAAAATTTCTCTCCAGTCGTTCCTATGGCCTTTCTCCATAAAGCACGTACTTCCATATTTCGCACATTTTCATCGATTTTATAAACATCTTTGTTCTGGGTCTTCCTCTTCTTCTCTAAATAGTATCTGATCCTGTCGTAGACCGATATTTCTGTTTAAAAGGTTCAGACGGTCCCCTTGGATACGTACTCTTTGTACGTATCCTCATTGAAATTTTTCAAGGGTTAGTTTTGTTAAACTTACTAGCCGATCTTCTACTAGTAGTTTTTTTATTGCTCCCAACATTTCTCTTCTGTTTACAGAGTCGTAAGCTGTTTTGTAGTCTATAAAGATCTATAAAATGTGGTGAATATCTATGCCATATTCCAGGGATTTTTATATTTGTCTCAGAGTATCAATTTGATGAATTATCAATTTACCACCTCTGAAATCGACCTGTTACTTTTCTATCATTCGTTTTGTATATTGTGCCATACGGTGATTTAATATAGTGGATAATATTTTATGCGTTGCATTGCTCTGTGGTTGGAGCATTACAAGATATCTCAGTTTTTGTGAATTTTGCAAAGTATTCCAATATTAAAATTACTGAATAGAATATAACTACAAAAAGCCCTTCATAGTGTGGTGATTTTTGTAGTTACATATATTCTGTTCTATGAGCTGCTGTAGTGGCATTATGGTCACAAAATCAGAAATTTATTTTAATTAGAAAATTCCAAAGAACCGTTTTTAAAAAACGTATTCTAATTTAAAAGCTGAAACTTTGAATAAATGCAAGTTTCATGTACTTCGTAAAGGAATCACAAGAACATAGTCTGATGTAGACGCTTAAATTATGGATGTAAATAACACAAATCTTACCTCAATTTGATACGCCCTCTACTTTTTGGCCTGAGCATCATCGCGAAAACACCGAACGTGTCCTTGTAGTTTACGTTTCCATAGACTTCGTTGTAAAACTCATCTGTAAGTCCGTGAGCCTTTTTAACTTGGGTACCACCATCGGCAGGGGTTGTGGTACTGGTTAACATGAACTCCATATCAGGCCAGTCGTCGCTTTGGTTCGCATATTTGGTTGGAATGAAACCAACAGTTTCTAAACCTGCAAGTAAATTATTATGTAGTTTTCAAAATAAAATTAGCATAGGGTAGACAAAGGTTATATTGGTATGAGTTCGACTTGAAGACGAACCCAATAGTGGTTAAGAAGTAAGAAAACTTCCTCGAATCTGAAAGAAGAAATATATGAGAATTTATATCCCATGTTAAAATGAACATGCCCATAGGTTTAATAAATGAATAAGAGAACTTTTAATATTGTGATCAATAAATTATACCTAATTATTTACCTTACAGGAGAAACTGATAAAATTCAATTTTGAAGAACATTCAGTAGTTATAAGAATATCAAAAGAATTACTTTTTAAAAGTTAAATAAACACTGAAATTCATAAATTTGAAAGAATACTTTAAACAATATTTTGACATCACTGGTTTAGAAATTCATTCATAAAAGATTTTTTCGATCCGTGAAATGTGTGTTGCCTACTTCGTAGGGGAATGAATTCTTATTTTAGTTATTTTTATTGTTTCCTGCCATAAACCATTTTTGCAAATTCTTTTAGTGTCAATAATGATAATATGATAGCAAAAATATAGACGTATATGCGTCTACAGTGGTGAGTGCGATATCACCCGGCATTTTAACGTAAGAGATAGAAAACACAGTTACCTTGTGAAATAAAAGGAGATGAAACTCGTAGTGGTGGGAAATAATCGATAGAAACCTATAATTTACATTACATTGCATTACCACCATCGACAGTCTCACACCTTTAGACGTTAGACGTGGCTATTTGACTTCAGTCATAATTATACGGATACCCTCAAAAATATTTTATTTTAATAATTTCTGATGTTAGAATAAATACTTGAATAAATTAAGATATGTTATAGTAAAAAACATTCATTAGTAGCGATTTTAAATTATAAATCTTTAAATTTACTTAATAGTAAAAATAACTCAACTGAAATATTTGACTAAAATAAAGGTGGGTATGTTTTGTCTGGAAACACTTAAAGGGACGTTGTCTATTGACGAGAAAATTGGGGTTCAATTCCACACCAAGGATAAATTTTTTGTTTTATCAATAAAAAAATAATACAAAATATGATACATATTAGGTAACAAATTTTCGAAAAACTCATTATTTACAATTATTTTTATTCCAATGTTATAAAACGGAAATACAAAATGATTCAAATTCAATTCATACAGTCTTCAGTTGTGAATGCAAAATAATCCGGTGAAGACTGTTTATATCAAATCCATCACTAAATTCTCAATGTTAATATCAATTCCTCTGTACAGATAATGATTTTCAAAACAATTGACAACATTGGAATGGATGCGCGCGAAGCAAAGCCTTTAAGCCATCAAATAATAACATATCGAGAAGTGTTTTTGCACGGTAAACAGAAACTTTTTATTGAAAAAACAATTCGTAAAAATGGTTTTAACGGTCGAGGAAAAGTGCAAATTGTTGTCTGGCATGTGAATGGATTCTCAGACAACATGATTAGACAACAATTTGTAAATATGTTTCCAATAGGCCGGCTCCATCACGATCAACAATTCAATCTATTATACGTAATTTTTTTTACTTATGGATCCGTGTTCGCTCCAAGAGGAGTTCGTAGGCGAAGGGAGGTAAATCCAGATTTGGAACTAAGAGGACACCTTTGATTTGTGCAAGTATTGAGCAAAATCCTACCCAATCAACATCTCGTCTCGGAGAACAATATGGAATTTCAAGATTTAGAGTTGGTAAAATTTTGAAAAGGCATGGATACCGACCCTATAAACTTCATAAATCCAACGAACAATTCCCTGGGGATCAATATAGACGTTTAGAATTTTGTCAAACTGCAATGGAAATGTCACATCAAGATGAACATTTTTTAGAGAACGTCTTGTTCACCGATGAATGTACGTTTTCATTGCATGGCCGTCACAATTCAATGAATGCTCGGCTATTGGTCCCGAGGAAATCCTCGTCAGATTTATGTTGCTCGTACCCAGCGTCCTCAAAAAGTAATTGTTTGGGGAGGGCATAATATGGAATCATGTCATTGTCAATCATGTCTCATGGCATAATAGGGAATCTAAAGTATTTCAAATACCTTATCTCTAATAATACCAGCCACATTCCTTCAAATTGTATGAGAACTTTCTTTCATGTTCCAGCACATCTCTTGAGATGTGCAGCATATTATCTTTAGCTTCATTTCTAGTTCCAAAGCCAAGCAGTCAATGTATACCTTCATATCCCCTCTTTAATTGGCCCACATGTGCATTCAAATCACCTATTATAACTTTCTGATGGATATGGTCCTCTGTGGTCCTCTGATGGATAATCACTCATCATGTCTAATAATTGATCGTAAAAAGATTTCCTTTCATTCTAACCCACACCGATTTGAGGAGCATAAATACGCATATACAACATTTGTATGCATTACACAACAAAAATTTTGTCTTATATAATAATGAGAAAAGTTATTTTTCTCATTATCGTTCGTTCTTACAACTTTTACTACTCTAGGTTCCATTTCTCTATCAGCAATTATAAAAACTCCATTCCTAATGCTACTTTTCCGTACATATTACAATTTTTAACCTTCACTTAGTTTTTTTCGCTCTTTGTCCATTCCATCTCATCCCTGAAATGCGAGCAATATGTACTAACTACTCTCCTACAATAGTCCTCACTAGGAAATTTGAACGGAGGTTCTGTTTGATTTCGGAACATATTACCTCAGTAGATGCCATCATTTCAGTATTATTTTTATAACATTAGAGAAAGGTTTTTGTTCCATTGGAGAAAATCTTTTCATTATTATGACCTCGGATGTTTCATGTCTAAATGCCTTTTGTACAGCATCACAGTGGCGGCTGGTGTGGTAAAATTTTGGGTAGGCCAAAAGGTAGGGAGCAAATTACTCCCTACCTACTAATAGCTAAATTTAGCCCCATATTCTGTGAATCTTTTATTATGGCCCAATCCAGTTATTGAAGCTTTTTGTAATCCGAGAAATGTTGCTCTAGTTGAGTGATAATATTGTCCAAAATCTCAAAAAAGATCCTTCTAAATTTAGTTTTAGCTTTCTCCAAAAAACTTTGATCTCCGTTATTAGATGAACTACCAGGTAAAATATCAAGTTCACTACGACTTAAGATGGATTTGGTTTTTAATGTTGAAATGGTTAGAAAATGTAAGGTCATTTCTCCAGCTCTTTAACATTGCAACACTTCTGGACACTGAATTGGCACACAATTGAACATCATTATTTTTCTTCTGCAAGATGTTGTATAAGAGCTCAGTTTGTTGAAATATATCACTAAAAACATTTAATAAAAATACAAATTCCAAGTCCTCTAACTTACGCTTAAAACCATCTGCCTGACTAATTGATTTTGCATTTGATTCTAGGCAATTCATTATGTCCTGAAATACTTGTAACAATTTTTTCTTTCTTGTGACACAGCATATACTACTTTTGCATTTGAATTCCATCTTACTTCACTATTTGTGGTAATTCGTTTTCCAAGTATTTTATTTAAAAAATAGGACCGTTTGGACGATTGGTGAAAATAAGCTGGAATACCTTGAAGTGTTGAGAATAATATTTTGACTGTTGTAATGTTGGAGCAACTTTGTTGTAAAACTAAGTTAAGGCGGTGAGCGAAATAATGGGTAAATATTGCTAATGGTGCAGAATCTGTCACTAATTTTTGAAGTCCATTAAGTTGTCCCGACATAACACTAGCTCCATCGTAGGTTTGAGCAATTAATTTAGCTTTACAGTCAAATTTACCAATTACACTAAACAGTAAGTCACGTAACGCTGGAGCACTTCGGTCTTCCCCTAGATCAAAAAAACCTAAGAAACATTCTCGAACAACGCCTTTTGTATCCACTAATCTGCATACTATTGAACATTGTGCCCTTTCAGTAATATCGGTTGTTTCGTCAAGAATTCATGCAAAAAATGTGGAGTTATTTATGGCGTTTTCATACAACACATTTGTGTTGTTTGTTTAAAAATTTGTTACAATTATAGATTATCTTACATATTTTTTTATCATAATTTAAAAGAAAATTTATATTACAATTCGATAATTACGTTACAAGTCACAACGATGGTCGGCGTAGGCCCGATCGTCTGGTGCCTAAACAGCAATTATAAACACGACAATAAAAATCGTTGTCCGGCAATGCTTTTTGTACGGGGATCTTATGTGAGCTGGGTCGGCCAGTTCCGATCGGGCCTATTAATGGATATTTAAAATGCCTGAATACGATTCGATGCTTTCTGTGGTAATTAATAACATAGTTGTTTTAACGGACGCTAATGTATTGAGTGATTTAGTACATTTAAAAGTTATTTACATGCATTAACATAATTTTGAATATATGTTTTTCAATTTTAAAGCTCTTAAAATTATTGGGTAGGCCCGGCCTATCCTGCCTACCCCCAAAAGCCGCCACTGCAGCATCATGTCCTGCATGATTTATTCAACACACCAACAATCAATCAAAGGTAGCATCTCCCAGAGAACTGTTTAAATCTATTTTCCGAGAACTTTTAACTTTTATTATTAAACAACACTCTTACAGTGTTTTATTTGATTGCGTATTTTTTATAATTTTAAAACATATCAAAAGAGTTAGTTATGACCTTCTCAATCATAATAATTATAATTATTAAAATTAATATTAAAACTAATTTTCGTCTCTGACGACTGGAGTATAAATCATTTTATATTTTTTATCTTCAATTACAAAACCAGAGAAACACTTTGTTTAGCTTTTAGTGTTAAAACTTTACGATTTAAAGACGCTACTAAACCGTTGTTAGAAAACTACAGAAAGACTTCTTATCAACAGATAATTTGATTTTAAGTGCTAAACGTTTACTTATCACGCTGTTGCTTGTTTGTTTAATTGTTCTATATATGTCTAGTAAATAGTCTCTTTTACCTATTGACGAAGTTAGAGGACCATCTTCCTTGATGGCATATCTCAATGCTGTATTGATATTAACCAGACGGTTGATTACCAGGCTGATTGGATAATCTATTAGAAAAGTCACCACTGAAGCTATATGGTCCTGTAAATTTTCACCTAAAATTGATAAAATTATTTAATATAAAAATGTTGCATCTTCTTTCTTTCAAAATATACACTATTGAGTTCAGAACTTAACAAAGACCTTGAAATCGCATAATTTTATGTGATAAAGAGTCAAAAAAAGTTGTATTTGTATATTGTAATAGTCTAATACAGTTTAATATGCACTGCTGAGCATAAAATTAGGATTACACCATAGTTTGAAGTTTTATTAGGAAATTTTATTTTTATTTCAGATTTTTTTTCGATTTTAACACAGTTTACTTGCAAAACAAATTTTATTTTTAAATTAAGTAAATTTTGAAAATAAAGTAATTAAACAATTTTAATTTGATATTATAAGTAACGAAAATAATAGTTTTACTTTAATAGTCTTTCCGTTAAAACAAAAGAAATTTTAAGGACTTTAGTAGCAAGTACTCTTCTGGCAGTCATGACAGCTTGCAAACGAAGAGACATTCTTTGCATGAGGTCAGTCAACTTTCCATACTCTATAAACACTTGCTCCATGAGCGTCAACAGATATGCCTCTCCCTACCATAAGATCGAGCGCCCACCACACCTGTTTTAAAATACCCGTTGAATACTAATGGAAAACTAGTTTCAGGCGGATCGCCTCGTAAGCTGCGAGTGCAATCGGTTTCAGACCGTAGTTTTTAAACAGTTGCGCCATGGGCGCTCGACCTTACTGGTCCTCTACCAAATCGAAGTTGATCAGCAATACACGCTTGAGAGTAATTTACCCCAGTCTATCTTTAAAAATCATTAATTTCACGTAAAAGTATTATGAGGGATAGTTGATGACACATCCTTGAAGACTTACAGCTGATTTTGCTCTGTTTTTTTCTTTGAACTGTAGAGCGAAGGTTAAAGTGCGACGTCGATAGGAAGAACAGTTTGGGTTTATACCAGGAAGGAGGACAACGGATATCTGTTTGCTTTGAAACAGTTGATAAAGAAACGCAGCGAGAAGAAAAGAGACCTACATTTGATATTTATAGATCTTGAGAAGGCATTCAACATAGTTTCTAGACAAGAGCTATGGAGACGTACGAGAGGAAATGGATTTCTGAGAGGTTCGGTGAAGGATATGTATGAGAAAGCGTACACTAATAGTAAGGACTGCTGTCGGATTGACCGAAAATTTTCGAGTGACGGTTGTTTTGCATCAAGGCTCTTCACTTGTCCTTACCTATTAATCTTGTTATAGATGTACTGACAGAGAAAGTAAGGGATTATACCTCCTTGGCAATGCTCTTTGCTGATGATATCTTGTTAGTAGAGGAGAACAAAGAAATGTTAAAAAAGGAGAAGTTGGAGCGTTGGAGAAGGACTATTAAAGCGAAAGGACTTAAGGTTAGCAGGTCGAAAAGGGAGTATGGTTGAGGACATAGCATTGCTTGAAGAAAAACTAGGACGAGGAGAAGAGTTTAAATACCTTGGCTCCTACATATCGAACATGACACTCTTCTCTCTCAGGGCCATCTCAGATCGGATTGTAAATTAGCTCTCACATGGCATATCAAATGCCTAGGATCACGGTTGGTTTAACTGGAAGCGAATAAGCGGGGTACTTTGTGATCTAAAAATTGGGGAAGGGCTGAAAGGAAAGATATACAAGAGTGTTGTGAGATCTGCGTTGGTGTACGGCGGTGAAGTGTGGCCTGTAAAGAAGATTCAGGAAAAGAAGATGGAGATAACTGAAATGAAAATGTTATGGTGGATGTTAGGTAAGACTAGAAGGAACAGGATCAGAAACGATTTGATTAGGGAAAGAGCCGGGTGACTACAGTCCCAAAAAATATTCGAGACCAAAGACTGCAGTGGTTTAGTCATATCAGACGTAGAGATGACGTAGACGTAAGACTGACGTAGAGACGTAGAACTATGTGAGACGAAGGATAGAGCTATTAGAAGTTGATGGAAGGAGAGGTAGAGGAAAACCGACGAGAAGATGGAAGGAGTGTGTGGCAGAGGACTTTAGAAAGAAAGGGTCAGGTGAAAAAGACCCTATGGACAGAAATGAGTGACAACGAAGAGTAAAGAAGAGCACCTCTGAAAGGGGAAAAGCTGAGGAAGATGTAACAAACGAAGTTATTAACAATTACAAATACCTGCAAAAATAAGGAATTTTTGCAATTATCTTGGTCAATTGTTTCGTGTTTATTTAAAATCCCGTAAATTAAAAAACTTTTTAACATCTGCAACTTTTATTTGAACCACTTTCTCCAAAAATTTATAAGAAATAGTCAAAAAATGTTTTTTCTCTTTTTATGATTGTTAAAAAAAACAAAGCAAATTCCTCCTTGCGTTTTCAAGGATTTTTCGTCAGCTTTACCTCATACACCTTTTAGAACCTTCAAAAAATCTATAAAAGATTATTTTAGCGTTTTTTTTATTTTCTTTACTTGCCTTTTTATCTAAGCTCTTTGGACAATATCGTGATTCATCGAAAAACAATACACGACTCTAATTTGCTTTTGAACAAGCCAAGTGTTCTCCAGCAACGTAAAATCGCCTCCTAACTATATACTTGCTTGCATGTAAATTATGAAGAAAAAATAAAAAGTTGTAAATTTGTGGACAAATGTAATTGAGAATTTAATGGCATATGAAATTGGCTAAGACTGTGTCTAAGAGAAAATGGGTACGGTACATTTACAGAGAATAATTGGTAGAAGAAAAGTAGATGTTAAATTGTGATCATATACAAATGAGCCATCCCTTTCTCACATACGTTCGTTTAGAAGTAGACATACAGTTGAATGAAAACAACAATATCAGCAGAGATTGAAGTGGTTCTGCATAGAGGACAGTTTTATTGATTGGAAATGTATTTGCTAATGTTTTTTGATTTCCCATATCTATTTTAAAATGTCTGCTGCCGAATATTAACTGATTAAAGTGGAATCTTGACATATCTTGAAGAAATTAGAAATAATTCCTGGTTTGCTTTAGAAAACATCCTCTTTTTACCAATGAGATTTAAACTATGAATTATCGAGACATTATTACTAGATTTAGCTCTTCCTGATTTTAATGTATTCCTAAATCCTAAGAAATTAATAAGTACAAAACCTTGTAGATTACATAAAGAGATGATGTATATTATTGGAGATTTGTTAGGAAAAGTTTACTGAAGTAGAGAATTTTTGTAACTTTTACTACATCCAATCGTAAGTGATAAATATTTAGAAAGTACCAACCTACTCCTGGTGAATCGTGAATAACCGGTATGCCTTTCTCCTCCAAATGTTCCTTTGGTCCAACGCCACTTAACATAAGCAATTGAGGAGAATTTAGAGCACCAGCTGATAAAATAACCTCCTTTTTCGCCAACACGGTTTGCTTTTGTCCATTTTTGATATATTCCACCCCATATGCTCTTCTAGTATCAGGATCTATTAACACTTTAGTGACGTGTGAATACATACAAATGTGAAGATTTTTTCTCAATCGTATTGGTCTCAGGAAAGCCTTAGCTGTACTACAACGAGCTGCTCTGCGCATAGTGAACTGGTATAGGGCGAAACCTGTTTGCTTTTCTCCGTTTATATCCCTTACGTCGTAGCCCATTTCCTGTCCTGCTTCCAAAAATGCGATGCCCAGTGGGGTGTTGTAAGGATTATCTTGGACAGTTTGATAACCACCTAAAACCACAAAAAAAACTTGTTATCTTTACTAAACTCGGTACAAATTTCGATAAATATTTTTGTGCAATATAATAATATATGTAATTGATGGATTCGACCGTTACTTGATGGAAATTCATTTTATGTAACAATAAAACACTGAAAACTTTGTTTTCAAACTTCCACAAAAATTTATTTTAACTCTTATCACTACAGCTGTTTCGGCTGATTGCCTTTCTCAAGTGGTAAATGTAATTACATAAATCTTTTTATTTTCGCAGGAAAACAGACAAATACAGCAAAACTTTAGGCGTTACGCCTGTACGGTAGGGATCTATGGAGGACGTATCACCGAGCCCGCAAGCCCTTATCTCTTGCCGTACTGCTCCACCATAGGCCGATCAGAACCCAGCATATCCTAGTCTAAGCCGCAGATTCATCTAGAATTTTAAACTGCTGCGTTAGACTTTTTGTTTTTACAGCAAAACTGCCGACATTAATTAAACAATTTAAAAGTATATTAAAATGTAGACTTACCTACGGAATGGTACCGTGTATTTTTAGCCAAATAAGGATTTCGTTGGTCTTGGCTCTTCTTGAAGTAAGGCAATATTTCTTCGTAAGACCAACCATAGTTCCCGTATTCCGCCCATCTGTCAAAATCTCGTCGATTGCCTCTGATATACAACATAGTATTCAGAACACTGGATCCCCCTAAAACTTTTCCTCTCGTCCAACTACATCTGTTCTCGATCATAGCTTGGCATGCCGTTTCCTGCGGCTCTGTTCTAAACAAAAATGTATCCTTTTAGGTTTAAAGAGTAGGTAACTTAGCAAAATGTCAAAGAATAATACTGTCAATTTTTATCGGTAAGTTCGTGTAATCTGTTTAATGTTTATATTTATTCGTTTATTCATATTTTTCATGTATACATCACTGCTTTATAAAGCTCTTCACAGTATTTTCTTTACTTAATTCTATTTGGCATATTTTTTAAATTTCGTTTTTGTAGGTTTTATTTTCTTTGTGTTAATTTTTTTGTACATTCGTCTTCTACCATTCTGTTTCTATTGCTTTCTATTTGTCGTTTTTGTTATCGCTGTTTCTTTATTCATTTCTGACCAAGTATTTTTTATCTAGTAATATAGTAGACAAAAACAAGAAGTAAATAGACTATCAATCAATATATAAAAATATTAAATTAGTTTATGTTACAATAAAACCTAGCAGCAAGTTCTATAATAAAATAGCCATTATGATTGCCGAATCATTAAAAAAATTATTCTAAAAGCTTACTTGTATCCCCAATCCAGTTTACTCTTATGAAGGTAGAGACTCATGATAGGAACATCGCTAATATCAGTTTCTTGTCCACCAGCTTCCATCAACAGTACGTTCCAGTTTGAAATTTCTGACAACCGATTAGCTAAAACAGATCCTGCGGAGCCAGCTCCTAAAAAAATTATCATCCCTTATACTTATAATTACATCCCAGAATAAAATAGAAAATGTATGCCCAGATACAAAAAATCATAAATATCTAAAAATCTTGAATACATTTTTCCGAATTTATCTTCCGATTCTTATTGATTTTTGGTCATCGGTAAGAATGGGGAATCACACTACACAGAACTTCCGGTTTATACCGGTATACTTATGAGGCGGATAATTATGGTGGGGAGGATTTTAGAAAAAAGAAGCATCGGGAGAAAGAAGTACTCGTAACTAAAGGATATAAAGGCATAGACAAACCTCGAAGCCCATGCACTTTTCAGAGCTGCACAAGATCGAACAATCTTTATCTGTCACGTCATCGTCATCATCTAGTGGATATCCAGCGATGAGTCGAATTCAGTGTCATTGGTACACGCTTTTGGTTTCTTAGGTTGCTTGGCTTTGGTATTTCCTTTGGTAGTCTCTTTGGTTACTGTTTTTTTCTTTGACCTTCCTTTTAGCATTTGGTCCACTATTCGCCGACTCAATTGTTATGTTTTGTCGTTTTTTGTTTCATAGATTGGCGATGTTTTTTGGAGAACTCAAAATCTCAGTAGAGCTCTAGAAATCTTCCCTGCAAGTGTAATTTTATCTAGGATAGGTATCGGCGAAATATAATCTAAGAGTTTCCCAAGGATTCTTTGACATTTTTCTGTTGTCACTGTTAAAGTCAGATCTGGTGCTTCTGATGAAGAATGCATGATTCTCTGTGGATTTTCCGCAGAGCCCAATTGTAATAAAGTTTGCCTGCGTTTATGTTCCTGATCTTTATTTGCTTCTGCTTTTGGTTTTTCTGAGGAATTCTTGGTTTCCTACCAGTGCGAACAACCTGATTGAGGTGAAGGTCTATTTTCACGTCGTTTGTTGTTTTTCTGTTGTTGATCTGAATCTGATATTAAAAAGTCATATTTAGGGATAGCATCAGGATTAAACGGGATGATTACTGTATTTCTGAATCCCTATATTGTGTTGTATGTCGTAGCTTGTATACATGCCTTTGTAGTAAATCCTCCAAACACTAGTCTCGAAATTTTTGCATTGTAATAGAATTTTAGAGCTTTAAAAAATGCTCTGTCTAATGGCTGCAGATAATGCGTTGTCTGGCTGGGTAGATTGAGCAAAACTATGTTCTTTACGTGCAAACTCGAATGTGTTCACACTGCTGCAATGGCAGCTATGTCCATCCAAGATGACCACGACTATTCCCTCAGGCTTCCTCGGTGCAAAATGGTTCCTTAGTCACAGAAGGGAAATGTCAGTTGTTACGTACACCGACTTTTGTGACATGAAAATTATGGAACCAGGCGATATACCGTCCTTATACTCGACTTTTTTATATTTTTCCTTTAATACACATGCTGGAAAATAGAATAGATTGCAACGAAAAGGACATCAATGTAAATAAATTTTTTTTAAATATTCTTATATTTACAAATGATATCGTTCTTATTGCAGACAGCTTTGATCAGGCACAGATAACGATCCAACAACTCCATACTGCCACAAAAAGAGTTGGTCTTAAAATAAATTTTTCAAAAACACAATTTATGACAAATTTAGTCCACAACAAAAACATCTCAGTAGAAGACCAAGATATTGAGCCAGTTGACTCCTATAAATACTTGGGCCATGAGATCAGAATAAGTCGAAACAACCAAACAATCGAGCTGAAAAGAAGATTAAACTTCGCTTAGGCTACATTTGGAAAGATGAAGGATATTGTTAGATCTAAGATTCCAATGTGTCTGAAAAGAAAAGTATTTAATCAGTATATTTTGCCAGTGATGATCTACGGCGCAGAAACCCTAACACTCAAAAGAACAACAGTGAGTCAACTACAAGTTGGGGAAAGGGCAATGGAGAGAATAATGTTAGGAATTCCTCTACGTAATAGAATACCCAATGCTACTATACGCAAAAGATCAGGAGGAGCAGACGTTATTGAACGGATAAGAACACTAAAGTAAAACTGGATAGGTCATGTAGCAAGATCAGGTGATGACTGGTGCACAAAAAGAATTTTGGAATGGAGACCCCGAATACAAGCTAACAGAAATAGAGGTCGACCCGCAACGAGATGGACAGATGGCATAAAAAGAGTGACAAATTGGATTCAGATGGCGCAAAATCGGACTAAGTGGAAAAGCATGCGAGAAGCCTATGTTCAGCAGTGGACGTTAGAGGCTAGTTGATGATGATGATGTTGGATGAACACATGTTGGAGGTAAAAACATATCCTCTCCATTGCAGTAAGCGATTATAGATATGGTTTCACTTTTTTTTTTTTTCACCGGATGTTATTGCAGCTACACTCTTAGATATCTTTACTCCCAATACATAACATGGTCTATTATTCAGTTGAGGTCCGGATTCATCTACGTTAACTATATTTCCCGGTTTATTAAGGAGGTTGTGCTGTCTCTAGGTATTTTGCAGCAATGAAAAGTAATTTGCAACATTTTTCCTGTTTAAACCCTTGACCGTACTTGTTAAACTCCTTTCGATTTGCGTATTGAAAGTTCTAAATTTCCGTTTAAGAATAAATGTGGCCAATACATTCAAGCAATTTCTTTTTCACGGTTACACTTGTGATGCAGATTACATTTCTTCTTCTCTTCAAGTTTTTATGCCATGGTACGTACTGTTCTACAAGGTGCAAGTCTGATTTTTTGTTATCTTATGATGTTTTACCATCTTCTTCTTACACTCCTATCTTAAGACAGGTGGCCTACCTAAAGGCTTTTTTGTAAAACACCCTTTGCTATTCTTCTCTTCAGCGTTGACCATGGAACCCCAAATTCCTTTGATGCTTCATTCTGGGTTATTCCATTTTGTAGAGCTTTTAAGAAAAAAAGAGAAAAAGGTTAAGTAAAGATGCGGTTTGGATTACATGCTTTTGTGGTCCTTGTGTAGATAACCGCAAAACCAAACAGTGGTTGTGTTAAATTGATAAAACCATACTTGAAAGTAATAAATTATATGGCAGAAGGTCGATGAAATTTGTTTACCAACCGAGAACATAAGTCCCTACTCGAAAAAATTATTTCTACATCCAAATTGTCGGAATGGAAAATGCCAACTAACCTGAGATACCAGACGTAATAATTGACTGCTTTCAATGACAATGACATTCGAACAAGATAGATAGTTGGTTTTTAAAAAGTAAACCAGGTTTTTGTATGTAGGCAATACTTTAGTTGCCATCATGAAACGCCATTGGTGAATCTAAGAATTCCGATAATTTGTTCGAACAAATTTTATTTTTCTAAAATGCATTTTGAATGTGTCCGTTGTTACAGCTGGCTCACTGTAAAGGACCTAAGTAAAGGTAATATTACATATTAAAATAAAAAGTTGTGAACCAATATTATTCTGATTTTCTTATTAGTAAATGACGTATTTGATTTGCACATCATAGAATTAGTAGATGAAGTTACATGTAGGTATCGCCCTCCCCAATTTCTTGTCGAAATTTAGTTAATTTAGGAGAACTCGCCTAGATTAATCAGTTAGTTGAACGCTTACAATTAATAAACATAACGATTATGTTTGTTATACCTACTTAAGATTAATTTTTTTTACTCTTCGTAACAGTCAACTTACCAACTATAATGAAGTCATAAGACGCATGCAGAGTTTTTCTGTCAGTATTTTTGTTTTCTGGATCAAACTGGTCGTAATGGAAGTACGTTATGGCAGCAATAAGAAATGGTAGAACAGCGATTTTTCCGACACCAATGATTCCCACGCCAGCTTTAATCGCTGTCAGAATTGTACTTAGGGCAATAATTGTCATGACTATGATTTGTAATTAACTAATTAATCTTTTCAAGTTTTGTTAGCTATAAATATATTAATTTATCACTATTATTTGTGTATTCTTTGGATATTTCTTGTACCACAAACTTGTGAAGATCTAAATATAGTAAATGGCATCAAATTAAGACTAAAGTGTTGACTAGTTGATTATGTAGATGGCGCGTTTTTGCTGAAATGATTTGTTTACTTCCTTTTCACATCAGCTTAGCCTAAGCGAATGATAAGCTTTATTTTCTGAAGTTTTGTGTGCACAAACGAAGAAATTAACATCATTCTGTGGTTATTCCTGCTATTTACAGACACGTTAGGCGGTGGATCCATTATTCCTGAAAAAAAAACATTATGGTATTTATTCATTGATAATATAACTACTTGCTATCTTAATATATAAAAATAGGATAAATTAGACATGAAAATTGATTTAATAAAATAATAACTAAGAGCCTAAGGGAAAATTTATTGATTAGTTATTAAGAGAAGAAACTAGTTTTCAAATGTTTTTTAAATGTTGTTTTAAATGTTGTTTTAAATGTAAATTTTGTCTAAAAAATTTTTACAATTTTTTAAGTGTTAAAACGGGATACAGTGGTCAGTGGGGTACAGTGGTCAGGTTTAATATTCAAATAATTTAAATTTGGGTGCAGGCTGCCATTTAGTTATAGAACTTTGCACCTGTTTTTTGTTTCAGGGGTGTACATTATATTTGTGTTAATAACGCAGTTTTCGATAAAATTCCTTAAGTTATTTATGAGGTGGCCGGTAAATTTTATCACGTGGAAAGAAATTGTAATAAATTACTTATAAACCGATATTTATAAATTTTTGATAGTTTATCATTTGAAGGTACGTACAAGGTAAATTTACACTTATAATTAGTTTTTTATTTAACTTAACTATATCTTGAGTATAGTATAGACTTCCGAAAGGCGTTTGACAGCATAGAACATTGGGCCATCAAAAACTCACTACAGAACGACATAATTGATTACAGGTACACGGACCTATAACAAACATATACAAAAATGCGAGTACTACAATATACCATGGAAAAAGAAAAGAAAAGAAAGAGAGGAAGACCACAGATGAGATGGACTGACGATCTTAAGAGAACGGCAGGAAAGGACTGGATGCAGATCGCCCAAAATAGAGACCAATGGAGATTAACAGGGGAGGCCTATGCCCAAGAGTGGGCGTTTAAGGCTGATTAGATAGATAGATAGATATCTTGAGTTGTGTTATCGGACTTTTTTTAAAGTTTATATATGGGGTACAGTGTTCACAAATAAAATATCATCGGTATCCACTGTATTCCACTACCCACTTATAAAATATTTTACATTTGTTTTCCTTTTCTTAATTAAGAAATAATATATACGACAGACTAGTATTGGCCAGACATCGCACGATAGGATGTTTGAAGCAGTTAAGCGCCATCGGAGGTTACTCAATAACACGTGCTGCTACGTGGCATTCTCAAAACCATGCTACAACTTCATTCAACATTGAAGTTGATGGCATTCTCACAACTATGCTACAACTTCATTCAACATTGAAGCGATACATAGATAAGTTGAAAAACATTGAAATTGACTGGGAAGATGTGAGAACTGTAAATGACATAGTAGACAAGAAGTGAAATTAGTAGAATATCTAAAAATATTTTCGGCGTTACATCCTGTTTGGTCTATGAGTTTGCAATTGCAAGCAATAAACATGTTCCATAATCTTGAGTATCTAACAAAACTACCGGAAAAGATTGGTTTACACTTTTCCAGAAAGGAGTAAGAACACCAGAAGCCACATCACTTGCACGAACAATTGGTTTTAACAAACCTGTGTTTAATAAATTTTTTGATCATCTGGAACGCCTGTATTATAAATATAATTTGGTCCACACCAAGTATTTAATGTGGATCAAACTGGCTTAACGACGGTCCGGGCTACATCCAAAGTTATGAAAACAAAAGGTGTCAAACATATAGGTCAAATAAAGAGGACAGCTGAGTCTGCTGAAAGAGGACAGCTTGTAACACTTTACTATGCCATTAACGCTCTGGGAATATTCAATACCACCTGTTATGATTTTTCCTTCTCTATATCCTATATTTTTGTAGAATGGTTAGATCATTTTATCTACTATGTGAAACCTTCGAAGGAGTCTCCTGTTTTGCTAATTATGGACAACAGTGAAACCCATATTAGTATTAGAGCAATTTGACATGCAAAGGAAAACAACATTGTCCTACTTACATTGCCGCTACACACAAGCCATCGGCTTTATATATGGACCCCTTAAACAATTTAACAATGATGCTTGTAAATCGTGGTTGTTACAAAATCCTGAAAAGCGAATAACGATCTATGATATTGGTTCTCTGCTTGGTAATGCCTTCGATTCTTAATACGTTCAAAAACGCTCCATGGTGCATCTTACCAAAAGTTTTTCCTAATCGATTAAAGCTACAAAAATCCGTTCACGTTGATCGAGCCACTATTGAAAAGTATATTTAAGGCAAAAAGTGTCTCACGGACCACGGTTACTACGTGCATTCGAGCCAAGCCATTAATTTTGTAAATAAATGTAGCTGCTTCGCATTAACTTTTTAAATTATTAACCTATCTTTTTATGTCGTTAAATAAAAAATTGATTTCTATTCTAATTATAGCGAGACTGTATAAACAAATAGCAAAACGAAAAATTGTGTACTTAATTAAAAAGCTCAAAAACTCTCGATGGTCGGCACCACAAAAAAACAATTATTATCTTTTTATGCTTATTCATCGGAACTTGTTATAGAAAGCACATTCCAATGAAGAATATACATTCTTTTACTTTATCATTACTCATTATGTCACAACATTTTGAGGTGTCTAAGTGAATGTCACTGGAAGTAGGTTTGAAGGAATCAATTATCCGAATCCGGTAAGGTTGAAACTATTAGTGTTTGACTTACTATGGTTCGGTAGGCACACAATTAGATCAAAAAAATTTGGTGCAATAGAGTATTAATGACATTGTTCGTTGAATTTGTGTCAGGTCAGGTTTCGGAAAAAGTATTTATCATTGCATATACTGCCGGTCAAAAGATAGGTATATTTTAGTTAAAAGATGGTTAAATGATTTTCAAACATTCAAAGGAAATTCCTTGTAACATTTGATTCATTTTAAACACTAGACATTTTTCATCACCAACACGGGCGTAGTATAACTCTGGGCGAAGTATTTTATCATTGTAGGCTATATTTATTTCCTTAAACAATAGTAACTCTGCTTTCTTAGATATAGAAGTTGGGTGTTTATCCTCTTGTTTGATGTGGTAATAATGAACAAAATAGTCTATGGTCTACAACGCTGTTTGGAAGTAAATTTATTAGAAGTTTATCCGTAAGCCACTTCTAGTAAGTTACGTCCGTCCGTCCGAAGTTCATATTGTCGTGATAATCACTAAAGCTGTTCCTGAAAATAGCTGGGAGTCATAATATTGCGAACAGTACTTTGAGGCAGATAAGCTAGTCAGACCAAGATAAACCATGTACTGTAGCGCCATCGGTATGTCACCAGTATTACAGTAGCTCTTGTAAAATAGAAAAATAGAGCTAGAATTATTCTTTTACATTCAAGACAGTAACCTATTAAATATAATAAATTAACTCTTACCTTTTTTATATTTTCGTTTCTTTTTATCTCTCTGTATGATCTTTATCTTCTTGATTCATACTAACAGAACTTATAACAGAGTTTAGTCAAATGAAGATTGTCAATTATATACTATATGCTAATAATACCTAATACATAATATTTTAACAAAAGAGCTGTCTTATGGTGCCAGTGGTGTATTCCCTTTACGGAATGTTTAGTTATTCTAATCACGAAAGCATGTCAAAAGTGAAATTTTTTCGTAACAAAGAGTATAATACGTTACGTGTTTGATAAATTAACACTCAGGAAACTATCAACGTTATTATAAAAGCTTACTTGGTTAATGATAACAAGAACAGTTTCGTTTAGTGCTTTTGTTTTTAGTTGTTAACGGCGAGAATGAAGGTCAATAGTTTTGGAGCTTGGATTTAATCTTTAATATAGATGACATCGACTGTGTTATCTAATCAAGAAGAAACTGTTTAGTCTGCATAAAGAATCTCACATTGTTTTCCTGAATTATTTTTTAAATTATATTTATTTTTATATTATATCGAGACAATCGACACTAATAGTAGCTCTCTATTCGATAATATAATGATGTATTGTGAGAAACTAAGTGGAAACGTATTCGGAAATAAAGAGATATGCGGTATGTCTCCTCGACTCGTTGTACACTCTGAGCAAGAAGTTTTCTGAGTATGTAAGCTTACTTTGTAAAGGAACTTCCAAATTACGTAGTGGGTGTAAGAAAAGATAAGTATGTGTCTGTGTAATGTGTTGTAGCGAAAACATTTCGGTAATTATTGTATAACAATAAATACTGCGTTTAAATATATAACTTGACTACACAAGAAACGTAAGCTTTAACTTAAATTTTTAACATTCCACAAAAAACAAGATTAAAGTTAACATCTTCTGTCTCGGAACTGGTATTTTCCAGAGAATCAGTCGCTATTATTATCACTATCTTCCTGCACATAGAGCTCGGTTTCTTTTTTACGAAAAATTACATCACAATATTTTAAAATTTTAAAGTCCATCTTTTGTTTTCTGCTATAATATCTTCGTATAGATCAACCCACAACTAAATTCAATTTGATTTGAGTCCATCAATTGCATCATATTTAGTCCTGATCTATTTTATACGTTTCATATCTTGGTTTCTGAATTTTTATTATTGTAATCCATGTAATGTGTTTGCCTGGTGTGAGTCTAACATTCTATTTTTTTTTCTCCATATATCGTTTTCATTCAGCGCAACGTGTCGGCTCTGTTTGCTATGTATTACGATAACAACGTCTCAGAGTAGTTATACTGTTTTTTTTTATTGTTTA